GCCCCCGCAACTCGAGCCAAGCGGGGACGCGGGCTGGGGGCCCCGGGGCCCCGGGGGGCGACGGTCGGAGGGGGGCCATGGGGTGCGCGGGGGCGAGGCTGGGTGGGGGGCAGGGAGCGGCAGAGTCCAGCGAAATGGCTTATCCCTGTTCTAAAGAATTGGGGGACCTCTTCTTGGGTTTGGGGGTATTAAGGTGCCCTGCAACCGTGCCCTAGGGAGCAGTGCTAGCAGGGGCAAGAGGCACCCCTAACTCCAGCGTCGGCGGCGGGGCTCTCAGCGCCCCGCGCAACAGGCGCTGGCTACACTGCTGGGGCGTCCAGCCCCAGTGCAAGCGCAGGTGGCTGGGTCTGGATCTGGGGACCCTGCTGGGAGCTGCGGAGTCGGGGTGGGGGGGTGGTGATCCCTGGGCTCAGGCGGGCGCTCATCCGCCACCTGCCCCAGCAGGAGGAACAGGGCCGCGCGGCGCCTCGAATGGCAGCCGGATCCCGAGCGCCCCCCCCGGTGCCATGCGGGAGTCCCGGAGCACCCGCAGCCGCCGCCAGGTGCGGGAGGCAGGGAAGGCCTGCTGGGTCGGGCTGAATCTGGGCCAGGCTTGGAGCCTGCGAAGACTGTGACCGCCGGCGCAGAAAGCTTCAGAGCGGGAAACGTGGCTCAAATCCTACCTGCATGACCGAGCTCACCGGGGTGGATCTAAGTAGCTCGCCTTTGGGGCCCACCCAAAATATCCGGATAATCGTTCCCCCGTCCTCAGTGCGTTGGACTTGCGTAGACACGGGTTCAATCCCAGGGGCCACCACGATAATTTGGGGGTCTGGGGAAACCATCTCCTGGAGTTTGGACGATGTAAGAAAGCATTGTGATTTTTAACCAGTCAAAACCACACACAAGACCCCGCACCCCGCCTGTCCCCGTCGCCCCAGGCCTCCCGCGCCTTGTGAAGGGGAAGGGGCCGCTGGCGGAAACCCGCGCCCCCTCGCCCCCCTTGCTCCACCATCAATCACTTCGCCCGCGCTCAGCGCGCGCTCCCCGAGTCCTGAGCCGGCGGGCTGAAGGCGCCGCGCCGCCCGGGCGGGGAGCGCCTCTGCTCAGCGTCCCTCTGACCCAGAGCCTGCTTGCTCCGTCTTGGGGCCGTCAAGCAGCTTTCCCCACAAATGTGATCTTTTCCAAGAGCAAACAAAAGTGGCGCGGGTTTCTGGGCGCTCAAGCTAGA